GACCATCCTTCAAGGCTTGACCATCCTTCAAGGCTCGACCATCCTTCAAGGCTCGACCATCCTTCAAGGCTTGACCATCCTTCAAGGCCTCTTGAAGTCCCTTTGGGACCAACTGGCCTTTCCAAGGTTTTCTTACTAAAGCAGTTACAAGCCAAGGCCCCCCTGCCCCTGCTCAACGCAATCATGCGGTTGTTTGAACCTGGAACTTGACCTCAATTTGGCAATTTTTCCAGTTCCACAACCAGTCGACCTTCCTGCGCACCAAAGAACACTGCCTACTGTACTACAGTATCCTATACTGTACTATCCACTCTCAAAGGCGTGCGAAAAACCGCCCACAGTGTTTTCTGACACCTCCCATCCGATCTCATCTACACTGGTTTCAGAGTAGATGGCACAGACCCCAAGATGTCCTTTAAATGTTTTAATTGGGGTTCATATAAACCACCTCTTTGGCGTTTGTGCCATTTACTTTCAATCCACTATATATATATACCCTGGGAGTCAAAGACTATACAAAGAATGGTCTTTAGGTGACCCGAAAAGGAAGATCCTTTACATCAGTCGGTCAAACTATAGTCTTTGGACTTGTAGGGTATACATATATCCTCTTCTTCCTTCTTCCTTCACGCGCCGCACCTCGCGGGCTTGAACGAAAGACGCCACGCCAAAAACCCCAGCCTCCACAGATGGACTGCGGGGTCTGCGGATCCTCATGGTCTCCTTGGTGCTGGTGGAAGCGCTGTTGCTTCTCCTAGGCTTTCGCCGTTCCTCGGATCTGACAGGAGGTTGGGAGGTCAGCGTGGGGACGGGTGTGGTTAACAGGTCATCCTCTTCACTTCATGTTTTGCTGGCGGCCCAGGGGTCGTTGAAACAACAAGCCCGCAGATAAGCACGTTGGGCAAGATTGTTAGATGGTCCAATTAAGAGTCCACGAGTTCCCTCCGCCAAAAGGCTTATGCCCCGCGTGGCTTCTCTCCATCAAGGGTATTGGAAGCTCTGCCCTACACTCCAAGTTCGAAGATTTGCCCCCATGTTCGAGAACGTGGCACCTTTCAAGGATCATGCAAGTAGATATTGTGCACGGGGTGAGCCAAGCGGTTATTTGCTGAAGGACATGTATTTTTGTTTTGTTCCTGCCTGTGCTCCAGCGATAGTGCTCCTTGGATGATGGGCCGTGATTTTTTTCAGCCTGACTTCTTCCGACCACATCCCACTAACTGCTTTGGAGTCTCAGTGTGTACCCCAGACCTACGTACCAGGACCCACTGTTTTCTGGGTTCGTGGACACCGCCATTAACCACTGAGGACCTAGAACATGTAATAATGGACACCTCTTCAGCACGGGGGCCTGGGCCATGGTACCTCCAAGAGAGGCTAAGTAGCCTGAAAAAGGACCCATCACCTGGGGTATCTATGGGATAGTCTATATATTGGGTGCTCCAACCTTGTCGCTGTTTTACATGTTTTACTTCGTTGTCGCTGGGTACGAGGGCAGTTGAGTCCAGGTACCCTTTGATGAACACATCACATGGAAGTGGATGGCATGGTCCCGAAAGGAAGACGACGTTTTCCTTTTACAAGTAGAAAAGGGGTCCCACTTCCATGTTGCGGAGTCGGAGTGTACATGGAACACGTCCATCTCAGTGGCAGAAGTAGTGCCTCCCATACGCCACACGCCTCCACAGCTCGCGTCCAGGCCTTGTACCTGGCAGCGAGCTGGGGTGAAAAAGAAGCCCGTGGGTCCAAAACGGCTTTGGGCTGGGGGTTGTGGCTTTTGGTTCAAGAACCCTTGGAAGTCTTCCGTGGTCTTAGTCTTCCAACCGAACTGCTCAAGGCGGGAGCTTGCAGATGCCAGGCATACATAGACCATTGACCTATGACCTACACAGAAGCCACTTGGAGGGATGCACATGCGCGAGTTTCTGAGGGCTTTCGACTGGACATGCGTGGCACCCTTTTCCGCCCACACTGGGCCAGAGGCGGGACCAGCGCTGAAAAGCCCAGAACATTCCATCAGACTGGGGGCCATTTTTTGTTTGATACCTCCTGAACTAGTCCAATGGCCAATGCGGATGGTCAGACAGCCCGACCCGTCAGACTCGGAAGACGAACACCGTGACTGGCCGCTGGGTGCTGGCTCGAGCCCTCAGATAGGGCGCCAAGTCCGGAGTCGAACCCAAATGGCTTGCAGAGGATGAGCCAACCAAGTCTTTGTCATGTTCGAAGTCCATCCATATGTTCGTGATGTTGCAGGATATGGTTGCAATTAGTGTATACAACACGCAACACACACACACACTATATATATATATACACATAATTGCAACTACCATTGAGACTCAGCCAAATTGGAGGCCACCACGATTTAGACTTAGACCGGTTGAGCCGTTGTCCTGGTGGATTGGCAGGGAGCTGCTGAGGAACAGAGATTAACACATATTTGAGGAAGAATGTGCCTGTCAACATTTGTTCTGAAGCTGTCTTCTTCATCCAGCTTCTCAGCAAGAATCCTCCAGGTGCCCCGAATAGACGAGAATCCTCCAGGATGACAAGTGCGGAGCATGCAAAGCATGATCCGGCACAGAAAGCAGTCATGTGTATGGGAATCGCCTCCTCCAGTGCCTTGGTGGGATGTTCATTGATTTGGATGAGCCCTTTTTCAAGCTGAGCCATGAAACAGCCGACTTTATTCCATGCCCGTTGAAGAGGAACCCTTAAAATGAAATGAATTTGCACAGAAAAACGATGTGACCGAGAAAGACCGAGAGTGCAGAGGCCATGTGGAGCCCTTTTTTGTGCCTGTAATGAAGATGAAGCCGAAACAAAACAACAGGTGTGACCTATTAGTTGTTTTTTTGCAGCACCCCAGGGAACCGTTGAGAGGTCAATTGGGAGGCCGTTTCTACATAGCCAAAGTGTCCAAGACCTCGAAAGGAGGCCGTTCACCAAAAAGGTGCTTTCGTTGGATGATCAGACGATGCTTTGGACCTCGCCTAGGCGTTTGCTGCTACTTGGGGTTTCCATGTGTCGAGGATGATGCCTTTCTGAGCCTCTCGGCCAACAGAGCGGGATCGCACCGCCGTCGCCACATTTGTTCGCCACGTTTGACACCCCCAACCGCGCGGCCGGATCAGGTGGTGTTGGTGGTTTTTTCCGGGCCTCCCCGTCTCGGTCATCGGTGTCATTTCTATCCCCAGACGCGACCCTGGGCCCGAATTGTCTGGGGTCTGGGGTCTCCTTAGGTTTTGAGGGAGTCGGGCGTCGTTCACGGAGCGTCTGGGCGGTTCCTGAAGCTGGATACAACGTCTGGATTTATCCAGGATCGCTCCCGAACGACCCCAACAGTCCCTCCGCTATAGGCCCTACAGGTCAGGTTTGACATGATTTTGGGAGTTGATCATGCAAACACGCCAACTCTGAGGTTTTCAGACTCAAGCTTGGACCTGAATCATGTCCTGGGCTTGGTATGGTGTTGATAAACCACGATGAATCAAAGCATATCAAAACCTATATATGGAAGAGATATGTAGAGGTGTTACAATTCATACACCTGGTTTTGCTGATCAGCTGATGGTGGATTTTCCATTATATCCCCAAGTTCCTGGGGAAGATGTGTTCCAAGTTCCTGGAACGGGGTGCACCTTGGGAGTTGCCCAGATGGTGCACCTGCTTGTGATCTTTGCTCCCACGTCGGAGCGGAGATCAGAGGGATCTCAAGGGCCCGGGAAGCGGCCTGCCGCGCCCGGGACGCGGCCGGCACGGGCCCGGGGCGGTGCATGGGCCCTGAAGAAGACGACTTTGAAGAAGACTATCCCTAGGGCTCCTGTCGTACCTCCTCAGGTTCGGTATGACTGGACCCTTCTGGCACCCGGGGGCTCCTGGACGGATCGGGAAAATGAGGTGACACTCAAGGTGCCCATTCCGTGGTGACAGGCATGGAAGGCATAGAGAGGCCTTCACAGCTGAACTGTGCAACGGCTGTTTTTGTTGGGCCATTGTGCTGAATGTCTCGAGTTAAGGACATGACACGCACCTCATGGAAGACATCCTGCACCATTCTGCACCACAGAACATGTACAAGACCCAAAAAAAGTAGCGTGGACAGTGTTCACCTTGAAGTGGTGTGAGATTTCTCCCTGCTGATGCTTTTGTGCTCAATTCACCTGGGGAATTGGAGAATCACTGGAGCCATCAGATGAGGGCCCCAGGCCCTGCTAGCAGCTTTTTTTTCCGCTCCGAGAACATCCTCACAAGGCAGTTAGACACCCACCCCAGCACCCACCCCAACCACCAAACCGAAACAGGGAGTACTTTTATACCGCCCGGGTTGAAATGGGATTCACGGCGGCTGGCCGGCTTGACCACTTCAAATGATGAGATGTACCAACACCCAACTTCACAGGTGCTTCCTGGTGACCACAGGTTCCCAGAAACCACCTGTTAAGGTCTCCAAACAGCCTGGCCAGGTCCTGGTACGAACATCGATCGTGAGATCTCCGGAGATCTCAGAATCAAATCCATCCAAGGTTTGCTCTTCCGCACCACCTGCGTGGGTTACTTCACTTGCAGCTTGCTCCCCTACCTCCTGGGCCCCTGCAAAGTGAGCCAGGCAGTACTGCGGACTGGACCCTGGGCAGGTGGAAGGGCAGCGCGGGGGAAGAGAGGTCTTGAGATGTGTTTTCAAGCACAAGTGGAGCATGATCTTGGAGTCCACACAGTCCACACCTCCCAAGATCTGGGAGTTGGTGCATGTTTGGGCCCAACATTGGGCCCGTCCTGTTGGCCGAACGACATCAAGCCAAAACACCCTGAGACTCGTGACTTTGGTGCTTTTGCCAGCTGCAAGAAATGGCATGGTTAGTTCAATGGACTGGGAGTGAAAACACGCTCACTGTTGCTGATGTTTCGGATCAAGAGGTGGGACAGTGTCGACTCATCACTCAGGTTGGATCATTACTACTCAGCATGTCGTTATCTTTCCGGGCCCGTGGCCTGAACCAACCACCCCTGGACCCGTGTGGACGTTGATTCGGACGTTCGCTTCACGAAGTGGCAGATGCGTGGGTTCAGACGTTCCGCTAGAAACAGCCGAATCGGCCTGAATTTCTTAAGATCCGTTTGCAGTTTGCATCAAGAAAAGAACACCCTCCAGCCTTTAGCTTTAGCGTATAAAAGATCCGTTGGCAAAAGAAGAAACACTAGTCCCTGTGTTTTTGGTGCTCAGGAATGTTAGTTCATTCAGCTTCAGCTTTCCTGGTCTCTGCATATTGGTGCGTGGGCTTTGGCGAATGGGCTCCCTGGCAAGAAGCTGATGGGCTCTGTGATCCAAAGCCTGCAGGTCACCCCCCTTTGATTTGGATGTCTTTCCCTGGATCCGACGCAAGGACTCGGAGTTTTCGCTTCGCTTCCCCATAGGGTCCAGGTCTTCCTGAGGATGGTCTTGGAGTCTTGGAGCTGAAAGTATTTCCAGAGAATGGTTCTTGGGGTCTTGCAGGACCTCCGATTCGGATGGTCCTGGACCCTTAAGGGTTCATGATGTGGCAAGACAGTTCCACTGCAACTGGCCCATGTGGCGCTTGGCACCTGAAAACCCATGCCCCATGCCTCCATGGAACACCTTTCAACCCCACGTTGGTTCAGGGACCCAGCTACCCACTTGGCCGCTTTGCGTGAGCTGCTCCCAGCGGGCCTTCTGGAGCACTCGGATGGAGGTCCCGAAGTCGAAAACCAGGTCATCTCTCGAGGATCAGGGATGAAAGTCCAGCTTCCCGACCTCTTGAAGATGGGTCGTGGACCTTTCTCATATACCTGCAGTCACATGTCGGGGTGCTATCCATGGAGGTTCGGGGTGCCCAGCTACTCCACTCACGTAAGAGGACGTTTCACACCACCCCGACATGTGACTGCTGGTGCCTTTTCATCTCTTTTTCAGACCTTTCCATGACCGCCACTGGGATCTCAAGTTAGGTCACTGGGAACGTCCTGGTGTGTTTGGTTCTTTCCTTTAGTGTCTAGGGTACGACTGGACCCTCCAAAGCTACGTCAGTTCAACAGTGTCGAACACTCCTCACCGTACCTCAGAGGGGTGGCAGTGGATCTGTAGGGAGTGAATAGTCCAGTCTATATGGATGTTTTTTTGTTTGCACTGACATCGACATGTGGGAATCAGCCATCAAGACTTGGGTTTGAAGATGTTTGAAGAGTTTCACTCCCGCCCTTGGGTGGGCGTCATGCATCATTTGTTCTATAGCGAAAGGGGGCGACCATCCAGGACCATTCGCATCACGTTCTGCGTGTCACAGCGGGTTGAATTCTGAGATCTCCTGGGGCCGATCTTTCGATCTTCCGTCCAGGAGTCACATGGAGTTGGGTGGTGTTTGGTCCCCTCCAGGGGCCGTGGAGTAGCTGGGCACCCCGACCACCTCCATGGATAGCACACCGACATGTGACTGCTGGATGATCTTCTAACTATGACACTTTATACCAGGACCCTCAGTTCGTGACCTCTTTGGAGTCTCTTATCTGGCCCTTAACAGGCCTGTTTGTGACCGAACCTCCTGGAATCTCAAGGATGGTCACGAATTGAAGGTCCTGGTAACTATTTTTTTTTGGGGAGGGGTGGAGCTGGTAGACTTGAAGAGGCAGACATCTTGCATAGTTGACAGATCCAGGTCTATGCCAGTCACAGTGTTTGGGTTTGGAGGGGATAAATACGACCACGGATG